AGGGCCAGACCTTTTCTTTGGATACTCTCCTGTTTGTGGCAATGGCTGGAATTTTGCCATACGGCCACAGTATATTGCAGGTGGGGTAGCACAAGCGCTTTGTACAGTTGAAGCATTTTCTTGGTGGTAATATGCTCTGTGCTCTTAACCATTCTGAGGGATGCGAGAGCCTTGTTGATAGGCTGATAGGTAGATATGATGAAGGATTATGATACGACTTCTTACCGGCTTTCTTTGTGAATTTCACCTCCGCTGTCTTCCAGTCTCTAGGGATTTTGCCTTTTTCAAAGCCAAGGGCAAATAATCTATGGCTGGCCATCACTAGCTGCTCACTAGCATTAATCAATAACTCACAGAACACTTTATCAGGGCCTGCTGCCTTCCCTTTAACAAGGTGCATCAAGGCTGCTATAGTCTCGTCAATTGTGATAGGGCGTTCCAAGTGTTCTATGTCGAATTTGACACTGATTCCTGTTGCAGGTTCCGCAATTATGTGGGCTAATTCCTCTTCCACAACCTTCTTAAACTCGGTGTTAAAGTCTCCTTCTTGAAGATGACTACCACTGAAGAATGTTGAAGGATCCTGCTTTTCTCTGCTTTGTCAAACACTGGCTCGTTTTGGTAGTTGAACAATGGCAGAACATCGCACCCATCTCTCTCTTGGTAGGAAGTTAATAGTCTCGAAGTATCCCAGAGTTCTCTTGGGTCCTTGGTGGAATTCAGTCTATTGCACACATCATCTACCCACTCTTCCTTGGCTTCCTCTTCTGCCGTCTCACATTCCGCCTTTGCCTCAACTAAACTGTTGAAGTTTTGGTCGGTAGACCTCTTGTACCCTCTTTTCGCAAGGTTTAGGCGATGTCTTGCCTCCTTCACCCTGTTAGTGATCCAGGGCGGCTTAGTTCTATGGCAGCCTGCCTTGACTTTTTTCTTTGGTACACTCTGATCCTTACATTTATTGAACACTTCCATAATTGTACAGCTCCTCGATCGAGGCTTCACCGATATCCTCAGTGTTCCGTAACCACTGTTCAAAAAGTTTGTCGGTGATTCTTTTCCATTCATCCCAGTCTGTTTTACTGGCAATGTATTTCTCCACCGTTTCCACGGCTGTTGGGTTACTCTTGTCTAGCTCTAGCTCCACCCCTATGTGGTTAGTTCTAATAAGCTCATTTTTCATTTTCATCATTTTACAAAATTTGAAGATCGTACGTCAAAAACAGGCCAGATCGCCGATAAAAACATCGGCGACTAAACTCGACATGAGTTCTCTTACGATCGAAAATACGGTCGCCGACTGCGATCGCAGGAATAGAAACGGTTCTATTTCTATGCGGCGGTCGGCGACAAATCGTGAGTGGCAGCCAATCACCGCTACGCGTCGAGTCACATGATTATCAAAAGTCACGTGATTAACAAAATGGCAGCCTACACAGCAGTTTACAAGGAGGGATTATTGCACAAACCCTTTCTCAAATATATATTAAGTTTTCCGTATATCACAGGCAATTTTTTTAATTATTTTTCTGCACATTATAACGATTTTCAGAAAATTGAGGATAGATTTACGAAGTTACCTGGTCTTTACTGGTAAGCGCCATTTTGTTGGTCATGTGACTCGTTTTAGACTCATTTGACCGGCGTCAAGCTTGCTCTGTTTGTGCTAAAGAACTGCTTGTGCTAGTACAAATACTGGGGCCGCGAACCCATCTACGTTTCCTGCAGAATGCTACGATCTGATCGGCGATGTACTGCGTGAAGTCACTTCAAGTCGACGTGAGTGTTGCTACGCTGCTAATCGGCGATAAAGTAGTCGCCGATAGTCAAATCGTAGGGCGACCTGAGCAGGGCTTAACATTACTATCAACGTTTAGTGTACGTTAATAAAACGATTTTGGCCAACATTTTTCAATAACTTAAATGTAACCTTATAATTTGTAATAATTATTACAAGTGTTTTACTAACCGTAATAAAACGTTTGTAAATTGTAGCAAACGCTATTAAATAACAAATTTAAATAAACAGTTCATTTTGCAAAGTCCACTCTCACTCTCAACCCTTCTTACCGTAGGGCCAACGACCCGTAGGATTATAGACCAGTACTGCCATATTCATCTATTATTTATTGTAACACACATTTTATTGGGACAATATCTATATTTTTATAACAAATGATTCGTGGATTGAAGTACTGATGAAAATCCAATGAGAATATTATTAAATTTGTAATATTTTAGAATTAATTAATGCATGTTCTTGTTAGCATTGGACATATATGCATGGTTCTGTGGACAAACGACATTTGAACAATACATGGATGGTATGGTGATATTAACTTATATTCACAGTGGTGCTAATTTGCAATCTCATTTTGCACGTGGAGATATCAATTTTTTGTTGCTCTTGCATGGCAAGTAACAAATACTGCCATTCATATAATTATTAGTAGTGGTACATTGCTGCCTGCTGCATTTCTTTCTATTTATTATTCAATGACTCATGACTGTTTTAGTCACAGGCACTTGGGACAGTCAGTAAAAACTGAAAATAATATGAACTAATATGATACTTTCCTTCATAAAAACTAATGCTGAACGCTCACTATAATGGCGACACAGCACACTCGCAGCGGCGAGTGCGGGAGCGTTCGGCGTTAGTTTTTATGAAGGAAAGTTGATATACAGTGACACAACAGTGGAACTGTAATTGAGAGGTACGGTAGTATTTGTGAATGTGCGTTTATATTATTTTCAGTTTTTACTAACTCTGTCCCAAGTGCCTGTGGTTTTAGCTGTTCTTGACGATGAGAAACTAAAATAGAAAATGTATAACTAAATTTTGTTAGTTAACTATAAATATCTTCTATATATTTGTAAAGAATGTGTAGTGCTATAGGTCTTAGTAATTGTAAAGGAACATTTTGAGTGAAATACAATTGGAACAGAATTTACCTACCACAGTTAGAAACAGCTCATTCACTCCGAGTGTAGAATTTTGTGTACCCAATGTTTTGGCAAACAATGTTTTACAAGGCACAATGAAAGTGTAAGTTGCAATTGATAATCTGGGCTTATCAACTAAATATATCAGTATAACCATTCAGCTATATGATGGTTGTGTATGTTATTTCTTTTTGAGTAGCAAGGAACTTGTTTTATACATTGATAATCATTATTTAGTTTTTATCTATATACTCATACCAAATAATGTTAAATTATTAGATTATTCTAACTTGATAAAGTGTGCTTGATCACTTCATAAATAATTTAATTGGCTATTAATTAAAGATTATGTCCACTGAAAACCCCCAGTTTATTTGGTGGGAATTACTCTTAGTTAAAACGACATAAATTATGGCTTTCACATACCTTGTATAAACCAGGTGCACATCACTGTACAGTATGTACAGAAAGATACATTTTGTTTTAATAAAATGTCCCATAGATGAAAACAGAGTAAACAATTCTAACTTTCTCTGCTACTAATACACAAGGATATTCACATATATAATAATAATAATAATTTTCATCATCTACTATAGACATTCAATATTTATTTGTTCGATTAAAGGGATAGTAGACTCTAGGGTTTTACTGCATATAACTGTATTTACTGTATAACAAATCGTCTATACCCACACGTATTTGTTACCAGATACCTAATTTGATTGTTATAATTAATTACACATCAATGCTACGAAATTTGAACGGCGCCATGACACCCGCGACCGTGCTGCCACCCCGAAAAAGTTGCGTATTTGCCAATTTATTTTGTACAATACAGACCGAGGGCTAATCACAAAGGTGCAATTATATTCATACCTAAATGCTATTTAACCGAACGATGTTCATTTTAGGACAAATTTATCCATAATATAACTGAAACTATGTCGTTTATAAGATATTACAATCCTTTTGCTTTTAATTAACACATGAGCCGCAGAGCCGTCTGGGCTCATCTGAGGTCTGTTCGCTACGATTATAACGTAAATTTCAGTCGTGCGTAGCTACCACATTTCGTTAGGCGCAGATACTGCAGACAGCGCAGTTGCCGTACACATCATTGTTAGGATCACGCCGCATATCCGCAGATGGAAGGTAGGGGGAGGGTGGGGGGAGGGTGTGGGGGAGGTGGGAAGGGTGCGGGTAGGAGGTGGGTGAGGGGGAAGGGAGCGGGTCGCCGGGGGGAGGGGGCTCTAATAGCAAAAGACAGTTCACTCCTTTGTTAAACAGTCAACAAATCCATGTTTTAACCCTCTCTTGAGGGTCAAAAAGGTATCCGACACTCTCTTCGGATGTCAGGCAGAAGGACATGTTCATGTCCTTTCAATAAAGCCATAAAAATCGCTAGCGTCACCGCTGCAACAAAAAAGTTTTTCAATCCGCCTCCGTCAGACCGATGTCCTCGAAAAAATTGTCTAAAATCTGCCCTGTGCCCCATTGACCTTTGACCTGTGACGCTCCAATTCCTGCACAGTGATGGCTTTTCCTACCATGATGCCTATACACCGACTATCACCGAGCCTAGTCGAGCCTGTTTAGATTTTGCCGCAATTCTGCATTTTCCTCCCTATACTTAAGTTAAGGAGTGGAATGTTCGCCCCTCTTTTTACACCTCTTGACCTTTGACCTTTGACCCCAGCTTCGCACATCCCAAACTCGTTTTCGACGACTCCCCCAACGACCCGAATATTGTGGACCGTACGTCGAGCGTTAAGATTTGTGCCCAACTGTTTGACGGACGCAGACGGCACGACGGCGACGGAAACGCACGGACGATCTAGTGCAGATTCTACAAGCTGGCATCTGAACTATGTCGCAACGTGAGCTAATAAAATAGAAACACGCTCAGTCTGTAGCCCTTGGCTGGAAAGTGGTTTCGCCAATTAATTCAGATCTGCCGCTTGAGTGGCCCACCGTCGTTGTAATCAAACTGTATGCATACGTTAGTTTTAAAAACTTTTTTATAATTATTTCTAATGGTGATTGAACATGAAACTTTTTATGTAGCGTAATTTTAACCTAAATTAACTGAAAATAACCCTAGAACCTAGAGTAAACTATCCCTTTAATCACATTATTACGCAATGCTGACAATGCACACTTAAAATGGCAATAGGTAATTCAGCTGCTAGGATAGGATAGCAATGCTTCTTCCTTTCAACCAAAATTGCTATATGACATGTGCAAACTAGTATGTCTGTGCAATAAGGTCTCTGTACAATATGGACATGTGAAACGACATGGAAGGACACCTAAGAATTTTATATATTCAGAGCACTTTATCAATATTACTAGGTAAAATAAAATAATTTAATGATTGACTGACAACCACATGCACCCACCAAACTATAAAGTGTACCATTGCATTGAGTGTCAAATATTGGCAATTGACAGTTGAGCTATATGACATCAAACATGAGTTGGGTATAGCAACCTACCACAAATGGTTAGAAAATCTATCACGTTTTTAAGGCATCTTTCCCTGTGCTACTCACAAGACAAGCACTATTTATCTCAGGTTGCAGTGCAGTGACTCGCCAGTCATTTTATGGTCATTCAACATCTTCAGGATACACTGGGTGCTGAAGTGGCACAACTGACTTCTGATCTTTGTCCATAGACATTGCTTTGCGCATATCTGTGAAGAAATACAGCATTTAGTACATTGAATAACACTTATTTATTCTAGGAGTTATCTAGACGATTTATTCATTTTTAGCTCAGCTGACGAAGTAAGATGCAGCTTGTAGAATCGCATGAATGTCCGTCCGTCCGTGTGTCCGTGTGTCCGTGCATCCGTCAACAGTTGGGCACAAATCTTGGCCGCTCGACGTACCGTCTTGATATTCGGGACGTCAGGGGGGGGGGAAGGGGAGAGATAGCGAAAAGGACTCGGGATGTCGAATTTGGGGGTCAAGAATCAAAGGTCAAGATGTGTCAATGGAGGGGGAATATTTCCTCCTTAACTTAAGGTATGAGGAAATACGGAATTGAAGCACAAATCTCAACGGCTCGACCTACGCTCTTAATATTCGATGTATAGTGTGATGGGGAGGAAACCCATCACCAGCACAAAATTTGAGGTCACAGGTCAAAGGGCATTGGGGGAAGGTCAGATATCGGACATTTTCCGAGGACATGGTCTAACGGACCGAGTGCAAAACTTTTTTGTTTCAGCGCTGACCTACCATTTTTATCACTTTATTGAAAGGACCATGAATGTATTTTCCACTGACATGCGAAGAGTAAGTGTCTAATAACCTTTTGACCCTCAAGAGGAGGGTTAAACATGGATTTGTTGACTGTTAACAAAGGACTGAACTGCTTTTGCTATTCGACGCATATCCATGATAATATGTTAATATAGCGAAGTCATTAAAGTTACACAGCTGTATCTTTATTACTGTACTACCCGTATAGCAAAGTCTATCATAGATTTTAGATCTGTATTAGTAGTATCCTAGATATATGCTCTGAGCGCGAACGCAGTGGCGGGAGGGCGCACTTGATTCGGTTGCCAGTGAGTTTATCAGAAGAATACCCGGCTACAGTACACGTCAGTTGAGCGCTGTCGCTCTGCGGCATTTGTTAGCAATTTATTTTTTGATGATGGTTTTAGCTTTGGTTGTTTCTTACAGGTAGATAGTCAAATGTCACATTTTATCTGAATATAGAATGTTTTAAAATCATAAGGCTTGTAAGTCGATATGTCCACCATTACTACAATAGAAAAATTCTGGCCCTGAACGAATTGTTTAAAATACAATATTCACTATAATAAATTAATTTGTGTAATTTATTAAACATATCACAACCAAGTATTGAAGTAAACTTACCAAAAGCATCCTCATCTGGATCCCCACTATAGTATTCAATAACTCTACGATACACACTGTAGCCAAGGTGTTTGTACATGTCAACTGCCACTTTATTAGACACGCGCACAAAGAGGTCGACAAAGTAGGTCTTCTTCCTATATGAATTAGAAATTTGCAAAAGTTAATAAGTGTACAATAACTTGAAAGCTAGTCGGTTATTTATCATAGCTTACAACTCGATACATAATAAAAAGTTTCTGCTTTATAGCTGGATAAGTTTAGAGTTTATAATATGGCAGCGAAAGCATAATTGACATTTCAAGAATACTTTTCTGAAATTTCTTCAAGTCCAGCCATCAGGGTTGCTGCTAATCCTACTCTTCGATATTCAGGAGCTACAGTCAATGCAGTGACATGTCCGTGCCACTTTTCTCCATGTCCCTCAGCTTTTCCCATTACTAAAAAAAAGGGTCATCAGTGATGAATGCATCCATAACCAGTGTTGTAGGCCTCGAGACCGTTTTCCTTGGTCTCGGTCTCGGTCATGGCCTCGGAGTGCAATGACTCGGACTCGGACTCGGACTCGAGCCCTCCGGACTCGGGTCGAGGCCGGCTCGAGGCCACTACATACATAGTACACAACTTGAACTGTACATATTGTAACACGCAGTTTACAAGAATTTAAAACTAAAACTCCTAGGTTTTCTAGATACACAGCTTAATCTTGTCCCGTTTTCAATGGCTTGATTAAGATTCTTGTCCCTTTGGTTTGAATCTGCTGTCACTTCGTCCCTTTGCGCTTTTTCTACCACTTCTTTCTCTTCATCTACCACTTCGAAGGTACTAGCACTCTCTCATTTGGTTCAACAAGCCGTGTCATTCTCGTAAAACACAAATGGATCTGTTACTTTGACACGTTTCGTATGACTCGTGTCTTTGTGTTTTCGGCTGACTATACACTTTCGAATGTCTACGATGCACTGTTGCGATTTTTTTCCCTTTTTTCCGATTTTTTTCCTTTTTCCCGATTTTTTCTTTTTTTCCGATTTTTTCCCTTTTTTTTTAATCAAAACTGGACTCGGACTCGGGCTTGGACTCGGACTCGGGTGGTGTGGACTCGGACTCGGGTGGCACGGACTCGGACTTGGGGGGGGGGGTGCAGACTCGACTACAACACTGTCCATAACTAGACTAATGTCAGGTTGTCAGTGCTCGTCTGAGGACTATCAGTCTGCCTCTGTTATTACTGCCATCACCCACAGCTACTCTACTGCTGCTTCTATTGCTGTGAATCCTGATGTTGAAACCTCCTGCTGAGTTCCTATTAGTATTACTACAACTCCTTTCGCTACTGGTCATGCTGTTGCTACTACAATAAGTACTGCAACTGTTACAATCGTCGCTGCTGTTGGCAATACCGGTGTTGCGAATGACATTGTTGCCGCCACTGCTGCTGCTGATAGCCACAGCACTAGTGTGATGTCTGATTTACTATACTGCTAAAGCTACTCACTGCTGTTCTGCATAATGTATGCCACGATTTGTTGTTCAGGTTCATGTGCCTGCATGCATCACTAAGATGGTCTCGCTAACGTCTTGTAATTAGTTGCTGCCATGGGCAACATTGTTCTCCAACAGTATGACCATCTATATGTGCAGTATGATACACATTTACTGCAATAACTGCAATTAATTTGTAATTATCATAAAAAAATTAATTTGATGTTGAAGACTGTTGTACTAAACTACTCCCACTTTGTATTACACATTTATATAGAATACAAAACATCTCAATACGGAAATTGAAGTGAGATTTGGACACGTGTACTATGAAGCAAAGATACACTGATTAGTGGTACCGTAATTTTCATGTATAATGTTAGTCACCTACTAATGTAAATGATATTATTAAAAAACACATTTTAATAAACTTACTGTATCCCATTATTTTTCCATCTGGTGCTTGAGCCACTTGAAAGTATTCAGGCCAATGTGCCAAGTATTGCATGTAAAATGACAAACCATACTGAAGTGTGACTATCAAGGAAAAAAATGGTTTGGAGCAGTCCACTTGTCACTATATTTATTTCAGCAGTTTATGAAACACATAACTGAACACATAGTAGAAACTAGTGCATACCACAGGACAGTGCAGTTTCAGAAAGTTCACTCACAGGCACACGCAGATGCACGCACACATACAACTAGACCACAATACACATTTAAGGGATACTTTCCCCTAGAATGTTACTGTTAGAGTATATTATCAGGGTGCGAAATTAACGGGAGTCCGGGGTCAAATACTCCCTGATTTACTGTCGGACTCCCTGATTTGACATATATGCAGGAGTCCGTGTGACTCCCTGAAAATTCTGCTACTAACTATTTCGATCCGGAGCACGTTCTCGCGGAATTACCGTATTTTTTCAGATAATGTCCAAAGAAAATTTGGCAGAAGTGCAACCCCATGAATCTTAAAAATCAGCACATGTATGCGTTATTGTTAAAATATCTTTCATTTTGAACCTCAGATTGCAGACTCCCTCTTTTTGAGGGTAGGGAGTCCGTTGGACTCCCGTGAACGGACTCCCGTGTTTAAAAGTTCATGTCTACCCCTGTATTATGATAGTAAGTGCATAATTAATCGCATATACCTACAAATTTCTATAATCACGCATTCGCGTTTGTCATAAAACAACAGTGAATTTCGAAATCTTTTACCCAATATAGGTGGACCAGACGTGGCTTCAAAGCATGCTAAATTTTCCTGTAGTGCATTGTACATGCTTCATGACATGATGTAATAATCTGAGCATATATATGCAGCGTAACTTACTACGCACTCAGCCAATCAGCACTCGCTGCTAGTTGGGAACCAAACAGTGATAGGTCGTATCGGCAGGTGATCTGTTCGCAGCGCATTTACATTTGCTTGGGCAGACCAGGATCAAGCGATCCAGATCAGACGGGCCTGTTTAAAACAAATCGGCTTTGGGACGAATCTGATTGGCCGAGTTATATTGGATTGCTTTCGAATCCATCTCACCAGAAGGGTCAGCGATTTGTGATGCGGATCAGTGATCAATCATGGAAGCGAATGTGGAGTATCACTGGATCCATGTGACCCAGACCATATGATCCGCCAAAAACAAACATGCCATTTGTGCCTGTACGTTGTACGTCTAGTCTGGGCCTAACTGGCACAGACTAGTTTGATGTAGGATAAAATTTTGCAGATTATATACAAAGTATAAGTATCAGGTCGAGTGAGAAGCGCGAACAGCCACAAACCAACGACCAGTGAGGACCAGAGGGACCTAGCTTTTAAATTGAGTGACATTCTTAATTAATATATATGTTGATAATTGTAGTAGTGATACAAACTTCTTTGGTAAATGAATTTTAACTTCTCAATTGAATTAAGGTGTGCATATATGCATGCGTGAGTGTGCATATATGCATGGCGCGTGTGTGTGCATATATGCATGCATGTGTGAGTGTGTGCATATATATATGCATGCATGTGTGTGTGCATATATGCATGCATGTGTGTTCATGCCTGAAGGGGAGGATTTGACATTCCCTACATGACACAGACCCACTGCACAACCCCATCACTCTTCAACCAGCTTATCACTCGACTCCACCGAACTATAATGGTTTTTATTAATGCTAATTATGAATTACTAAACTATGAACTAAATTACTTTGTGTGTGCGTGCGTACGCGCGCATGCGAGTGTATATATACACAAACTCACATATATGATATATACTCTACATAATTGTAAACTTATGATTGAAAAATGGTTATACTAATTGAGAGACTGGTAATCTTGATGATATATATGGTACATATAAAATTGTAAGGATACAGTTTCTGTAAGTGGATCTAGATTCCTGTAAATGGAAAAATTTTAATCAACAGTTATTATCCAGTTTAATATATATATTAAAAAACAATGTTATTATTATTTATATAACACGCTCTGAAATTACTGCATTTAGTATCATCAACACATGCATAATTCTAAGCAAATGACATTTTCTAAGTATTTTCATATGCCAATTCTATAAGCTAGCACTTTTTACTGTCTTGGCATGAAGGGGCTTATATTAATTACTTGTAAGCTCAATGATGTTGTTATTTACCAATAATAATGATGACCTGTCATTAAAATAATAAACAAACAAATGAAATCATAAATCAATAAATCAGGATCATGCACCAATTTTAAAATCAGAGTTTCATGGTTCATGGCCTATCCCGATAAAGCTGGGACCACTGCACCTACTACTACTAATACTACTAGCATGCTAGCCCAGCCAGGCTGTGACACCAATTACACATTACATATATATATATATATATAACATACAATATATATTTGATAACTTTAGATGTTATAATGTATATTAAATGTAGGGCCGTTTCTTTGAGCTACTAATATACACAGCTAGGGTGCGAAATTAACGGGAGTCCGGAGTCAAATACCCCCCGATTTACTGCCGGACTCACTGATTTGGCATATGCAGGAGTCCGTGTGAATTCCTGGAAATTTTGCCACACTAACTAGTTCGTTCCAGAGCACGGCCTTGCGGAATTACTGTATTTTTTCAGCAAATGTCCAAAGAAAATTTGGCAGACGTGCAACCGCATGAATCTTCAAAATAAGCACATTGCTTTAATTTTGAACTTCAGACTGCGGACTCCCTCGTTTTGCAGCGGACTAAGGTACCTCTTTTTGAGGGCAGGGAGTCCGTTGGACTCCCTTGTTCAAAAGTTAATTTCTACCTCTGTATACATAATAATATATAGTACTAATAGTGCCACTACGCATACTACGGCACTAACCACTATACTATTCACAGGCACTTTAAGTGACTTAGGCCGTTTCAATAATAAAATGATTGATAGTAAATAAACACGAATTGTATACCGGTATAATAGACCGTCTATCTTTGTGAGTTTGTGCAGTGCCAGTGGCATGCATGCACCACTAACTGGCATTGTTGACAACAATGTTGTAGAGGAGCACTTCAACTTGAACAGCATGTAGAGTCCAATGGTTTAACACGCAGCTAGGGCCAGCATACCTCCCAAAGTGACGCGTCGTTGACCGACCAATCGGAGCGCTCACAGCTCAGGCACTAAAGCTGATAAATATAAAGCTAAACCCTAACCCTAACCCTTACCAGTAGCCATCCACTCACGATAGCCAGCTTAAATAAGGCAACCACAAAACATAGCATCAGCTTTAGTGCCTGAGCTGCGAGCGCTCCGATTGGTCGGTCGACGACTCGTCACTGGGAGCTGCGAGCGCTCCGATTGGTCGGTCGACGACTCGTCACTGGGAGCTGCGAGCGCTCCGATTGGTCGGTCGACGACGCACCACTTTGGGAGGTATGCAGGCCCTAGCTGCGAGTAATGCCTAATGGTTTAGTGGATCACCATGACACCAATGTTTGGCAATAAGGAGTCAACAAATAAACAGAGACTTTGGTGGTAGTAAATAAATACAATTTGTACTTATTCGCCGTAATTTTATTACCGGGAATCAATTTATATCGGTATACCGGAACGTACCCTGGGGGACATAGACCCTATGAGCACTACTACTAGCAGGAGTAAGATAATATAGATATCTATAT